GAAGAAAAGGAAAAACAATGAAGGAGGGATTCAAGTTGACGTGGGGGGTGGGGTGAAGGTGGGAGGTGAAGAAGAAGAAAGAAAGAAAATGGAGGGAGGAGGTACCATGAAAGTGAGGGTGGAACATGAAGTAGAATTTAAAATGAAATCAAAATTAATGTAATAAAAATAAAATAAGTCAAAAGGTAAGAGAGAAAAAGATAAAGAAAAACTTAAAATGAAAAAAAATATATTTTAAATTAAATTAACACGTCTCACATAATGATTGATGTGTGGTAACACTTGCTTTTTAAAATCTTAAACTAATTGAAATATGATGTAATAATATCAGTTCAAAATTATTTAAATGTGTAATAAGATGTCCGTATAATTAAAATGTGTTTTTAAAATTTTGGAATAACTTGAGGTGTCACATGTCTTTTATATACGCATATAATAAGGCCATTGGAATTGACTATTCAGAATTAGAGATATCAACCATGCATGTGACCTACTTACATCAGAGGTTCATTACCATTTTTTGGAGATTCACGTGATATTTCCGTAGTGCAATTAGTGGTGTGCGGAAATTAGAGCTGTCAATACGGCTGATCCACTCCATTCGAGCTAATTTATACATGTTTTGTAATTTAACGGGTTAGTTTATTTTTTGTGTGGACCAGAAAATGGTCGGTTCAATCTATAAGTACGTGGGCTACGAGCTTTATCGGGCCAGTCTTTTTTTCTTAAAAGTATATATTTTATAATTTTTTAAATTAAATTATAATTTAAAAATATTTTCATAAATATCGACAAGACAATATTACATGAGGTTAGTGTTATTACGTGTTAATCAAATATACAAATAAAATTATCTATATAATATTTATTAAGTTTGATTTCAAGTCAAACATAAATAGCTAAATTGAAATATTAACCTAATTATTTTCCAACGATCATAATAAAACACAAAAACTATGATAATATTAGTGATTCCCTAGAAATTTTAGGAATTTTTTATTTTATGTAGTACATATTTTATAAACATAATTTGTATTTAAATTGTAATATTTCAAATTTTAAACATATTTTGAGTGCAGACTCTTGTTATTTTTAATATTCTATTTTATTTTTATTTTTTGATTAATTTTTATTGGCCCACGGGCCGGCCCTATCTATTTTCTCAAGCCTCATAAATCGACAGGCTTATTCAGGCCGGGCTAAAAAGCCCTTTTCTTAAATGGGCACCAAAAGTCGTAGCTCAGCCCTATCAAATCACGGGTTAGGCCACGCCTGCCCAACGGCCCTAGCCCATATTGATGGCTCTAGCAAAAATCAAATTGAACTGATAAAAATGCTATAGATTTATTATTATTGGATTGTTAGATTAACGAATTTTTAATAATTTTGTAAAAAAAAATATATAATTAATTTATCGGTTGGTTTTGATTTTTAATATTGAGTTATTGGTTGAATCGATAACTCATTAAGAAGGTAGTGAGTTAACTTTGAAATATCATTTTTACCCTTAATGAAATGATTTACAATTAGACAAATACCTAAAGATTGTTTTAGACCAAAAATTTCAAAAATATCTTACTTTTTTTTTATTTCATGTTTAATCTAACGGTGCCACATAAAGTGAAATTGTTCGGAATGCACACTTGATCATAATTGCATGAAATGCGATGCACAATTCGAGTAACAATATCTCTCTCATAATTCTTCTTGCTAACATATTTTACTTATTTAAAAAAATTGAGTTAATTTTACATATGATCACTTAATTAACATTTATTGTTTCAGAAAGTCATTTTTAAATTTTAAAAAATTGGAATAACACGAAAATATGATTATCCAAGATAATAGTATTAATTGAGTGATTACACGAGAACTCAATCCTATCTTATTTTTGGTTAAATACTAATTGAAATTATGCATATATATACGCCGGTAGAGGAGTATAGTAAGCTTAAACTGCAGCCACATATGCATTTATATAAGCCATCGTCGGTGCTAATGTTTTTTCTCATGAAAGTGGATCCCTATTGTTAGATAGGTTACAGAAATTTCTCGATCTAATTTAGTAATTAATTATCTTTTTTTTCTTCATTTTTTATCATTTTGAAACTTATGAGAATTTGGACTTCAAATACATATATCTGGCGCTTTTCTATTAGATGGAGTTAAAATTAGGTGTAATTTGTTATAAATAGATCGTATCCAAGTAATTCGCATATATATGACTCTCTCTGTTGGCCTATCTCCGATCTTATTCGCAACTCTTCTCTCTCGCTCGCTTCTCTCTCTGTAACTAGCATTCCAGTTATATGTATGTAGTGTGATTCATATGTATTTGTGCATACATAGACTATCTTGCTTGCTGCTCTCCTATCTCGCTCGTCTCTCTCCTTCTCTCGGCTACCTCTCCCCATATTTTAAGAACACTCTTGTTAATGGTTTGGACAAATTCTCTGATCCTAACTATGTTTCAATTTTCGACACGACGCTTCGTGATGGAGAGCAAGCTCCTGGTGCTTCCATGACGGCTACACAAAAGATGGACATTGCACGTCACCTAGTCAAGCTTGGTGTTGATGTAATTGAGGCTGGTTTTCCAGCTTCCTCTGAGGTTGAGTTTGAGCTTGTAAAGTGTATAGCACATGAAATTGGTAATGTTAAATTAAATGATCGTCTTATTTAACAAAATGTTATATATATATATATTATATATTTTTTTTTATATATATATTATATATATATTACCATGCGTATTTATATTATATCTCAATAGGTAATAGCGTAGATGAAGAGGACTATGTACCAATGATTTGTGGTTTGGCGAGATCTACTAAGGAAGATATCGATAGAGCTTGGGAGAGCTTGAAGTATGCAAAGACACCGATGATTCATATGTTCATCTCGACAAGTGATATACATATGATACTTTATTAATGATCTATATTTATTTTACATTGAACTGTGGTAATATATTATATTTATATTTGATATATAATTATATATCATATATACCCGATGATACACTATTTATATAATATCGATATATTACACATATATACAACGATTTTTGTTGGCAGTATAGTTACATAAGAATCCCTAAGCCAAGAGTTATAAATATTAGGATATGACTTTTGCTTAAGATGCAAATCTACACACACGTGGTTAGGGGTGGACATGGTATGATACGGTACAATATTTGAAAGTTTTGATATCATAATTTTAGTATTCAATTTTTAAAATATTATATCATTACTATACTTTGGTATGATTCGATATATTGAAGTTCGATTTCGTTATTCAACGATATGGTAAATTGGTAATCATAATTTGTTCAGTTTCAACTATAATATACTCGTATAACAGAATATTATGACTTCGATAATAAATAAAAATGTTTCAATTGTATCATACTAACACATTACATATGTAGAAATATATATGCAAAATAAAGTACAAACAACTCATTTTTTTAATCAATTACAATTCAAATATATTTCAATCAAAATATCGTAGTCAATTTTTTAAATTTTAAACATTTAGTTTATACTAATACTAAGTTGCATATTTGTTAGTATATATATATACCACACCAAATATCATAATTTCAAAATCACAATATTAAAAAATTTAATATAATATAATAATTCGATATATATAATACCATATCAATCCCTCCTACACATGGTATACAAAAATAGACATGAGAGTGGGGGTGTGTCAATTCCAGAAAAGAATAATGAATACTCCCTCTGTCCAACGTGATTTATTTTTTCAACGCCAAATCAATTTGGAGTTCATTTGATCTGAATCAGACATCAACCATACATGTGACCAAATCTCTCAATATCACATTTCTTGCTAAGCAACTACTCTTCCAAAATAATAATAAATTATATTATTCGTATATTAATAAGCGAAATATATAAACGGAGTTTTGAAAAAATTTAAAATGTATAAATACAAATTTGTATATACTTATCCTATTAAGCAAACAAAATTATAGCTATAAGTGCAATTATCAAAATTACTGTTATAAAACCAACTTAACAGAGGTTTCATTTGATTGGTCAGTGCAAGTTGACTTTGATAGATTAATATTAACTTGTACACTAACTTCACATGGTAAGTTGGCCTATAAAAGCTAAGCCCAATTATGTATTCATCATTCATTCAATTTTAGAAAGGAAAAGAAATGACTTCTAAAAACACTCTTGTTAATGGTTTGAACAAATTCTCAGACCCTAACTATGTTTCAATTTTCGACACGACGCTTCGTGACGGAGAGCAAGCTCCTGGTGCTGCCATGACCGCTAAACAAAAAATGGACATTGCACATCAGCTAGTCAAGCTTGGTGTTGATGTTATTGAGGCTGGTTTTCCATCTTCCTCTGAGGTTGAGTTTGAGCTTGTAAAGTGTATAGCACATGAAATTGGTAATGTTAAATTAAATGATCGTCTTATTTAACAAAATGTTATATATATATATATATATTACCATGCGTATTTATATTATATCTCAGCAGGTAATAGCGTAGATGAAGAGGGCTATGTACCAATGATTTGTGGTTTGGCGAGATCTACTAAGGAAGATATCGCTAGAGCTTGGGAGAGCTTGAAGTATGCAAAGACACCTATGATTTGTACGTTTATCGCGACAAGCGATATACATATGAAATATAAATTGAATATGGGTAGAGAAGAAGTTGTGGAGAGAGCAAGGAGCATGGTGGCTTATGCCAGAAGTCTTGGGTTCGAGCATGTTAGGTTTGGCTTGGAAGATGCTACAAGGTTTGTAATATTTGTCATATTTATACTTTTACCATATGGTGTATATACACTTATTATTATTTTTGTCAGATCTGATAAGGAGTTTGTTTATCATATTATTGGAGAAGTTATTAAAGCTGGGGCAACATGCATTTGTGTTGCTGATACTGTTGGATGCAATTTGCCAAATGAATTTGCACAACTAATTGTTGACATAAAAGCCAATACATTAGGTATCCAAAATGTGATCCTTGCAGTACATTGTCACAATGATCTTGGACTTGCTACTGCCAACACGTTAGCTGTATGTATTTGTTAGCTTCCAACCACTCCCTCTGTCCAATTTTAATTGTCATGGTTTTCTTTTTTACAATTAAATTCTATGATGTATTTTGAAAAGGGAAAAGGGTCAAATATGCTCCTAAACTATTCGAAAAGGTCTAGATATATCCCCCGTTTAAAGTTTGGCTCACTCGTTCCCTCGCCGTCCAACTTTTCGTCTAGATATGCCCTTATGGGCTTTAAACACCAAATGGAATCGCCACGTCATTTTTACATTACCACGTGGCATTGGAAAAGGGTCAAATATACCCCTAAACTATTTGAAAAGGTCTAGATATACCCCCCCTTAAATAAACTACCCGACCCGTTTTCAACAAAAAAATTTAAATTTTTATTTTTTTTAGTAAATCACGAAAATGAGTAATTGACTAATAAAAAATAGGAAAAGTATATAAAATTAACGCCAAAAATTCACAAATAAATATAGTAACAAATTCAACAATTTTTTTAAATTTTTATTTTTTTCGATAAATCACGAAAATGAGTAATTGATTAATAAAAAATATGAAAAATATCACCTAAAAATTCAGCATAAAGTCATTTTCATATTTTTTATTAATCAATTACTCATTTTCGTGATTTATTGAAAAAAATTGTTGAAATTGTTGAATTTAAGGTTATTATATTTATTTGCGAATTTTTGGCGTTAATTTTATATATTTTTTTCATATTTTTCCTATTTTTTATTAGTCAATTACTCATTTTCGGGATTTACCGCAAAAAAATAAAAAAAATTTAAAAATTGTTGAAAACAGGTCGGGTAGTTTATTTAAAAGGGGGGGTGGGGTATATCTAGACCTTTTCAAATAGTTTAGGGGTATATTTGACCCTTTTCCAATGCCACGTGGTAATGTAAAAATGACGTGACAATTCCATTTGGCATTTAACGCCCATAAGGGCATATCTAGACGAAAAGTTGGACGGCGAGGGCACGAGTGAGCCAAACTTTAAACGGGGGTATATCTAGACCTTTTCGAATAATTTAGGGGCATATTTGACCCTTTTCCCTTTTGAAAATTAGTCAAATTGACTTTCGAAAAATGCAACATAACAATTAAAAATGAACGGAGAAAGTACTTTATTTCTAAAAATACATATCGTTAGTTTGACTCTCATACCTCGATGAAATTCAGGGAATTTGTGCAGGAGTAAGACAAGTTGATGTAACCATCAATGGTATTGGTGAAAGAGCTGGAAATGCTTCTCTAGAAGAGGTGAGGGAGAATAACCTTTAATTATTTTTATATATATAAAATGTTAATCTATCTCTAGCTAATTAATATTATTATTTCTATTTTATATAGATAGTAATGGCCATAAAATGTCGTGGAGAGGAAGTACTAGGTGGTGTCTATACTGGGATTAATACAAAACATATATTCACCACAAGCAACATGGTATGCATATATTTTTTAGTTGTTAAAATTAATTATGCATATAATAATATTGTTATACATATATATGCAGGTAGAGGAGTATAGTGGGCTTAAGCTGCAACCACATAAGGCCATTGTGGGTGTTAATGCTTTCTCTCATGAAAGTGGAATTCATCAGGTGAAGATCGACCAACAGCCTTAAATTAAATCTCAATTGTGCCAGACTTTGTTAATCTGTCAAGTTTTATAGGCCAACATACCATGTGAAGGTAGAGTGCAAGTTAATGTTAATCTGTCAAGTCAACGAATCAAATCAAATTGATAAAAAAAATAAAAATTAAGTTATCATTTGATTTAATTGATTTGTCGTTGAAAAAAATAAATCACATTCGTCATTTTTTTTCTTTCTAAAATTGGATGAGTGAATAGATAATGTACATCAACGTGATTTATATTTATATACACTTAGTAGTTATGGTGTATTATGCCTAATTAAAGTTTTAAAGATCATCTCATAGGCTGAGTTAACAAACTCAGTTCCATTATCAGACCTGATAATTTTCACCTTTTGATTAAATTGAGTATCTATGTACCTTAGAAACTGCTGCAAAGACACACAATTGGTACAAAGATTAATAACACAGGGGTTAGTAATGCAGGGATTAGTAATGCAGAGTTTATTTTTATCAAGTGTTTGGTTCATTGTTTCCTACTTCATCTTGTGTTTGGATTAAAACTCTATAAAAATCTTCTTTCCAATTATACCCTTGTATTATTATGTAATTGGGTCAAGGTAGATAATTGCCGGACAATGTTATTTTTTTTATGACCTTCTAACTAGCTAGGTGATGAACAATTTTGTTGTCATGATTGCTATTTTTCACTTGAATTATTTGAGGATAAATAATTGTCATTTTAATAAATTTAGCACTCACAAAATGACCTTTTTCAATTTAAAAAAGATAAATCATCTACTTTTAAAACCGATAAGACGGTAAACAATACTTAGTAAAATTGAGTAAACCATCTACATTTACACATAAAAATTGCAAGTTATAGTTTAATATGTATGCAATTTTATAAATTGTTCAAAATACAAATAATTAGAAAACCACACACACATTTATTATACATTCAATTAAGAAACATCATGTGGTGATATATTTACCTTTTAATTAGTATATGTTAAATTCACATTTCAAAAATTGTATTGAATTTATTTAGTAACAAACAACTCTCTCTAATAATTTATATGCTAATTTATTTAAATTAATTTACTAATACAAATATAAAACATAAAATCAAGAAAATAAACAAAATGATTAAAATGATTTGAGGGATATTTTTGTCTTTACATAGACTTATCCCATGGTATTAAATTCTATTTATTACTAATACCTCCAAATAGAAGGTATTAGTAATACATCCTCTAATACCATATAGGGTGTATAGCTAATCCATGAATTAGTTATACATAGGCCCAAACTCTTACCATACATAGTACTATATAATACCATACATAATACATGGACTATTTCTCCTAATACTTCCTACCAAACGACCCCTAAAATATCTAGGTAAGAACCCAAGAGAATTCATAAAGAGATGAAAGAAGATGATGAAATCAAATTTTATAAAATCTATTTTAATATTTGGAGTACATGTGTATTTATATACATTTTAGTAGTTAGGAGATAGTTAATTATAACTAATTTTTAATCCTAACTATTGGACACTAGCCTAATTAACAACCTTAGGCAGCAATGACTAAACTACCCGGCCTTACAATGTCTATTTTAGTCATTAACAATATTCATAATTTGAGTAAGTTAAAATAAGAAAATCTACTACTCCCTCCGTCCCATTTTATGTGAGGTAGTTTGACTCGACACGAAGTTTAAGAAAAAAAGAAAGACTTTTTAAACTTGTGGTCTAAAATGAATGATAGAAATTTGTGTGGATATAAATCAATTCATTAGGGGTAAAATGAACATTTTAAAGTTAAATTGTTACCTTATATAAAAATGTGTCATTTTTTTTTAACCGACTAAAAATGAAAATAAGTCATATAAATTGTGATAGAGTGAGTAAAATCTACCTTCTAAATAACATTATGTTCTCAATTTAAAAAGTTTCATTCTTCTTTTTTTATTAAATTATACGTATTTAATTTAGGATGGAATATTAAAGAACAGAAGTACATATGAGTTTATATCTCCTGAAGATATTGGATTTATTCGTGCAAGTGAACATGGTATTAAATTGGGAAAACTCAGGTACGCATTGATTTATTTATTTTCATACAATCATTGTTTTATTATGATGATGTTGTGATACAATTGTTGGATTTCTTTGTTTGTTTGTTCGATTATGTATTTATTATGCTCCTAAAGTTCTCAATGATTCATTTCAATCGATTATTTTACAAAATTTATATACATTTTTTCGAAATATATCGTCTCAGTGGTTTTATTTTTTTATTAATATATATTGGTACGGTTCGCTTTCTACAATAAGAAAATAGTTATCTACTAGCCATGTTTTCTTTCTGTGATAATGTCGTAGATTTCAGGTTCGATAGTCTCGAGAAGGTATTGGCCACCGGTGACCACTTTCTAGCCTTTCGAAAACGACCCTCTCCTTACAGTCAAGTGGTTGAACGACCCCCATCCTCCTTAACTATGTATGGCTAATGAACTCCTCGCCTTAGTCCATTCTTTTCCTTCTTTGGGCTTGGGTCGTTAGTAGCCGTGGTAGTAATGCCCCGGAGCCCAGCTACCGACGAAAAGATTGAGCATAAAAAAATATAGAGAATGAGCTATTACGTGCAAATAATGAAAAGTCAATAATAAGAGTCTGATCTTCGATTATTGCATTATCATTTTAGTTCTTTTTTGCATGTGTGCTACTCTCTATTTCACTTTATTTAGTTGTTGTTGCTGCTTTCATTTATGTAGTCTCTTTTTTGAGTTATTTTGAAATGTTTTACTTAAAGTCGATAGTCGATATCGAAATCAACCTCTTCATCTTTATAAGGTAGTTAATGATAAAATTTGTGTACACTCTATTTTTTACAGAATCCACTTGTGAAATTACACGATGTATGTTGTTCCTGATATTGTTGGATTAATTTTTAAAAAAAAGTATATTATGTAAGAGTCACAAGTAAAAGTTAAGAACATGTTACAATGCATACTTGCATATACTGAATTTTGACAAAAGCTTTCAAGATGTTTTTACTATTTAAAAAGTGATGAAATTAAAAGAACATGAAAAATGATCAAAAGAGAAATTCATTCAACTCTTCTATAGTAATAATGTAAAGAAAATTAACTAAAGACAAAAAAAAAAAAAATCACATATGTGTAAAGATATCAAATAAGATAAAACTCAAAAAAATGAATCTAATAAAGAATTCAATAAGATAAATTTAAATCGTATAAGAGAAAAGATATTCAATCTAAATCTAATAATTCTTTTATTGCAGTGACATTGGCATATTGTGACACAAGTTGTTCATGTTTTTTCTTGTCGACTTACATATTTATTATACTCCTTCCATTTTATTTTATTTGATAATATTTTTTTTAGAAAGTATTTAAGGGAGAATGATTATTTCATTTATATTTGAAATCTTTTAAATTTTGAATTTTGTATTCTACCTTTGACAAATTTGATAACATGGTGAATATTTTGTGCAGTGGGCGTCATGCATTGAAAGCCAAAATGCTTGTGGTAACATACATATTCTAAGAGTTCAACAATTAAATTATGATATTTTTATATCGATATGTATTAATACTCAATTTATTTTGTCATAGCTTGGATATAATTTTGAGGAAAAAGTACTTGAAGACCTCTTTTGGAGATTTAAGTCAATGGCTGGTAGTAAAAAGGTAAATTATATTGTTGGTGATTTTTTATGCATGGGATAAGGCACTAGTACCCCTAGACTATGACTGAAATCCCAGAGACACATCTTAACTAAATTAAGGTCCTATTACCCCTCTGAACTTATTTTTTTGTAATTGTGTACACCTTTTTGTCCTACGTGGCCTCCAAACATCTCCCACGCGCCTCACTGAAGTGGAGTCACGGAGTGTGCCACATAAGTCAAAAGGTGTACAAAATTACACAAAAAATGAGTTTAGGGGGGGGGGGGGGGGGGGGGGTAATAGGACCTTAGAATAGTTAAGGTGTGTCTCTGGGATTTCGGTCATAGTCTAGGGGGTACTTGTGCCTTATCCCTTTTTATATCGATGAAGTTTACTTGAGAAATTAAAGATTTGAGGTTTAAGAAACTAAGCAAATGTGAGAAACATATAGTAATATATATAGAAGAACGTACAATAACGCGATTACCAAATAATACTACTAACGTGGAGAAGTGTAGAGACAAAGTATGACACCTTAACAGTAGTGTAGCTCCACCCTGGTAAGGATTACGTATATCCTATCCTACATAAACCTTATAAAATTCTACTAGGTATATATTGTTGTTATTGTATGTTTTTCACCTATTTATCTTTTCTTACATCTATGTTTTTCTTCAGAATATAACAAATGATGATTTAAGAGCACTTATATCAAATGAAGCTATCCAGACTCAAATTGCTTGAAAACTTGGAGATGACTACACAAATACATGTAAATAATACTTTCTTTATTTTTACTGGTCTTCTTTAATTAATTAACTTAGTTTTATAATATTTATTTATGCAAAGGATTGCTGTTAAATGGAAATATTATTTGATACAGGAGCTTCTCACCTATTGATGGCAGAGCTTATCTAATGTTGCAACAGCCAAGGGTTTTGTGCTACATTAATCGATGTATTAAATTTACTTAAAGGCTCTAAGGTGTGGATTCAACATTTTAATTTTATAAGTTCAATCTTTTAAAGTTTTTACTTTTTAGTATTGATCTTCTTGTACTTTCTAAACCATGAGTTTAGACTTTTATTTGTTGTAATTTTAATAAATTTATGATCCGTGTTAGAAGAATTGAGTTAAGATATATCCTAAAGAGTCTTGAGTAAGAGCCATCTTTTTAACGTAAATATCTATATTTTAATAATTTCTACATTATAGCAAAAGTAACTTGAAATATATTAATTTTAAAAAATAAATTTATATCAAGTTAAATAGTGCCACATAAAATGAAACAGAAAAAATAGCA